TTACTGACTGTGGACTCTCTTTAATCCTTCCTGCTCAGTATTCCACAACTACAAGAAAAGAACTGCAAAGAAATCTATGGACATCTCTATTATAGCATCAGGAACTTGTAGGTGTATATTTGTATGCATTTGATTCCAATCAAAATTGGATTTTTCAAAAAATTTTTAACTTGCTCCAAAATTTGTCAAAAATTGCAAAAAGAATTCTTCAAAATTAATAATGAATATGTAATTACCAGTTATGATAAACAACAAGATAATCAAGTGGGTGGGTGTGACAATAACTGTCTACGCATGCAAAACATAGAGTGCAGCTCAGAGAAGATGGCCTCCTCGTTGTTTTTGTTAACTGTGACTCTCAGTATTGTTGCTGCTGATATTGGTGCTTACTTTAAAGCGCAGAACCAACGGCCAGCTGCAGCAGCAGTCTTTACTGATAGCTGGGCTGTTGAGGTTCATGGTGGAATTGAAGCTGCTAATGAGATTGCAGAGAGACATGGCTTCACAAACATGGGAAGAGTAAGGGATAAATAATACTTAATGAAATATCATGATATTGCCAGGTTGGTGCTTTTGCTAATATTTATCATTTCAAAATGAGCTCCTCGGCTAATAATGATGAAAATATTAAATCTGGTACTGAAGCACAATACATGAGAACTACTCTCAAGTCAGAGATAAACGTAAGCTTACAATTTTGCTTATTTGTTCCTTGCTAAGGTTCAAACTTTTGCATTTATTAATATTTGCAGATTAAAAATGAAAAACTATGACTTTTCCACAATTATATATAGTAGAATAATCTGATTGAAGTGGAAAGAAAGTAAGGAAACAAGAGGGTAGCTATTTTTGCCAAAATCCTACCCCATTGCATGAAATATGAAGACTTCATGTTGTTATTATAGAGTCTGCATGAGTGGCTTAGTGCCATATCCTTTATGCAGTGCTGTATTACTGTCCTTTCCGGCTTCTTTTTAAAAACACCTTTGTGGTCCACTAAGGAATGAAAAACCAACTTGAGCACTTTTTTGGCTTAAAAGATTACCCTTTGGAAAGAAGGATTAAAGAAAAAGTCTGAAGAATAGTATCTGCAGAAATGCTTCTGCTACATTACAATCACACTTTGAAAGTATACCAGGTGAATTGCTTGGTGGAATTATACTGTGTTTACACTAGCTTCTTTAACTGAGCCAGCCCTGTTTAAAGTGAGCCAGCACAGTTTCATTTGATAGTGTAACCAGTAAGCAAACTGAGCTGAAGTGAGCTGGGCCAAACCAGGCCAGCATGGTTAGTACAGCAGGGCCAGCTCAGCCTGGTTCAGAAATACCATTATTTCAAATTAAACTTACATTTTATATTTAACACATAAAAAAACACCTGATATCTTATAACTCATGCATAATGCAAGTACTTTTATTGTGCTCATTACTATTAAGGACTGATACTGCACATCTTTCTTTTATCTCAATCCTTTCTCTTATTCTCTCTTTCTTTTCTGATTCCTTTCTCTTCATCAGAAAGTGATTTTTTATTGGTATCCAGTATCCAAATGTGTTTATAATGTAATCTTTTATGATACAGGTAGGTTATGTGCAACAGCAGAGTTTACATAACTGGGAAAAGAAATATTTTCAACCAACAAGTCAGGGAGATCCACTATGGGGTAGACAGTGGACAGTTGTAAGTATAACTAAATGGTACATAATTTAAGTTTAGGCCACTCCATGTCTGGGTGGTTGTTGATTTTCATTAAATTTATTCATTATTTCCTGTGCAATAATGAATAGTGAATTACTGATGGGTACAATTCAGGAGGGATAATGGAAGCTATGAATCTTTTGGAGTGGTTTTATTGTTTATTGGATTTTATTGTAGAACAATACTGGTCAAACCAGGGAACCAAACCTTTACCTTGATCTGAATGCAGAACCAGCATGGATACAAGGATATACTGGAAATGGAATATTAGTTGGTGTCGTGGATGATGGTAAGATGATGTAATTGTTCTGGTAAGTCATTTTTGTGTAGGAGTACAGCATACTCATACTGACCTAAGGAATAACTATGTAAGTGTATTTGTGATATAATTAATTGCTTTATAAATGACTGTAGCATATCATTTTTATATTCTAGATCTTCTCTCTCTCCCTTTTTTCTATACTTGTAGGTATCAGCATACAGTTATGATTTTAACTATAATGTTAGTGACCCATCTCCTGTTGGAACAGATTCCCATGGAACTGCTTGTGCTGGTGAAATTGTCATGGCCCGTGATAATAATGTTTGTGGAGTTGGTGTAGCTTATGATGCCTCTATGGCAGGTAAGGGAGATTATACTTTATCCATTCATTCCCTATTAATTATAA